TTTAGCCTACAGCACTAGTATTTCCTCTTGCTAAAATGCTAGTTCCTGAATTAGAATATAAACAATGTTCAGGGTATCAGAATAATATTTCAAGAACAGGGACAAAAAAAGTTGCATCATGGAGAGGTTGTATTGAGAATTCCAGCTAGCCATTCCAGGTTGTTCCAGTTTATATCACATTCATTCTATTTTATATTTTCTATGTGCCAACTCTAACATCCTGTGGTCACTAAAACTGTTCAGTTCTCATTAACGTAAAAGACAAGTAATAGAAAATGTTGGTGCTTAAAAAGCAATGACAATGCAGTTTTATCCTGATACTATATTGCCACACAATTTCAATAACTGCAGTTTAGTGAACCTTTTTATTCACAATTTATATGTGGAAGGAATCATGTGTGATACAATTTGGGGCTGAAAATGTTATTTTCAGGTCACTGGAATATAGGCTTAGATAATATACTTTGTATTGCTCATAAACAAGTTTGCAATTTCCAAATTATGGTGCATAACATTCTGGAAAAACTGTCAGTGAAATAAAACAGATCTGCTGTTTCATTTCAAGTAACTGACAATGCAAAAATATTAGCATCACTGAAGAAGCAAAGTTTTGCTATTCTCTGTTAAGTATATTCTCTTTGATAACATTATCAACAACCAAAAATAAATGCTTACCTATCTGTATTTAATTACAGCTGATTACATAAAGCCCTCCAAATCATCTTACAAAAATGCAAACAATAGTCAAAACACAGAAATATCGGACAGAATTAAAAACTAACCAATAATAGTTAAATATTTTAAGAATTTAATATCTGTATAACAATGATTTATGTGTATTCATCCAATAATGATCTTCATAACTATGAATTATAATTATTGTTTAAGATGTCAACATCTATAAGCTGAGAATCTCAAGAAAATGTTATATAGGGTACACAAGGCAAAAAACACAATCTTGAGTTTCCAAGCATGCTTTTGTTTTCCTTCTTCTGAAACTTCATCTTACCAAATTAATTTTTGGAAGAATAACAAATATTGTCAGTATAAACTCAAATGCTAATCAAAGAACTGAAAACACATCAGACGCTAACTATGTTAGAAAACTGAAACAATGCAGTGTCAATTTAAACCAAATCATAATAATTTCTTTATTCCTGAACTGAATAACCAGCTCTAACAAACATGATTCACATATCTAAAAAAAAGTAAGATTTCTTAAGACAAAGTTTATTAAATAAGCTAAAGTGACTCCTAACATCATGCTATGCCACAAACCAAGTTTTATAAACCACAATTTTATATTAAAATAAACTATAAAACTGACAAAAATGTTTTATCTTTGTGTACATAAGTGTAAATCCACTCAATAAATGTAATTAATGATATTTATTTAACATTTGGAACATAGACAAAATTATACAATATTCAAATTTAGTCTTGGGTAATTCAATGCTAAGTATTTCTCTAAGCAACTGGATATTCTTCAGTTATCATGATATAAACATTAAGGCACCTCACCTGCATTTAGCAAGATTAGACATACTTAAGGCAATATCTCATCTTTACAGATCAATTGTTCTGACAAAATTAAACAATGACTAGGTTAAATACCACACTTCATCAAAGCCTCCCATATGTTATTCTGATTGTTTCAGCCACATAAAATAGAAATAAAGAAAAGAGTTTCCAGCACTCTTTTCACCTCATAATTGCAAAACCAGGAAAAATAATAATTCTATATGTTGAGTACTACAAACAAGCCAGACGAAAAGAAAAAACCAAACCCAGAGAAAGTATTCAAGAGTTTTTATAAAACTCCCTTTATGGAAGTTTTTTTCCCCTCCTCCTATATTGCCTTCCAGTAATTTTAGTACAGTGCATCCTTTTCTTTTCTCTTTGGAAGATGCTTAAAGAAAGGATTGTAAAAGAAATCATCAGATTCTCTCTTTAAAAGTAAAAGCACCACAAACCTTACTCTAAGAGCCAATACATATAGTGGTTAAGATCTGGATTAGGCATGGAGATCCAAATTATAGTCTTCCCTTAGGCACAAAAGCTACCGGATGACCTTGGCCAATCACTTTCTCCTAGTCCCCAAAGAGCATCAGCTCTGTGACAAACTGGCTTAAAAGCAAACCGTTCATCAACTCATGCACTGATGGCTTTGTTGTGGGAACATACACAAAGCAACCAAGCAGACCCAACAATCAAGCAAGACAAATGGTAAAGCACCCACCATTATCATAGACTGCAATCTCCCATATATCCCTTTTCAAATCAATTATCACCACCAAGGCATGAGATAATTCATGCGGAAAATGAAGGCCACTCCAAGAACTCAAATTGGATTTGTTTCAAAATAAACCCCTTCTTAATCTAAATTGTGTATGCCTAAATCTACTCATGCCCCAAAGTCAGCAACATTCTTCCAGGATCCAATATTTAAAGGTTTACCGACAGATTACCTCCTTTTACTTCCTAGCACCTGGCAAGATGATAAAAGTAAAGAAGAAAAATTCAATTTCTCCCTAGTAGATTATTAAAGGCAGGGAGGAACTGTTGGTCCGGAAAGGCCCCATCCTGAGAGAAACACATACAAGAAAACTGCTCCTTACAAGTGAACTGCATTTTACATCAGTAGCAATAAAATATATAAATAATCATAAACTCATATTCACATACTGTTGAATAAATAATTATTGTTTTTACATTTGAAGGGCTAAAGAGGACAGAATAACAGCAAAAAGCAAAATTCACAAGTTTGAACATCCCTTTACAGCAAAAAGCACTTACTAAATCAATATACAAAAATATAAACAGAATACACATGTCAATCTGCCTAGCAAGCTAATTAGCATAGTATTTTGAATTTTAAGTATATCTGAAGACAACACAAAGACGCACAAGAGACTAGTGAGTGCAAATAAGATATCAGATCAGCAAGTCAATCAGAACTTCCATTTTGGCCTTTCAAAATGATCACATAATCAAAAACTATGTTTTTCAGCCTATGTTCAAACAACCAAGCAAATCAGTGCCCCAATCGAACCTGTATTATACGGATACTTTTTACGGTTACATTTCATCTTGTTTTTCTAAGAAAGTTATACATAAAACAAAGGTACATGAACTCCAACATCCTATGGGAATCTTTAATCAAAAGAAACCCCCCCCCCAACTTTCTTGACAGTTAAGGAAATAATTTCCTTAAAATACTTCCTGCTTTGTCCCACAACTTCACCTCTAGATCACCCTACCCAATCTAAGTCAATAGCAATAGGGGCACAACAGGTACTTCCAGCTCTACCAAGCTAGAAAGGAAAATTCAAAGTATAAAATTCCATGCTGAAAGACAAAACACTGTTCCACTCAAAACAGCCATATTTTGTTTTGTATTTGAACCAAAATTTAGTGAAGAAATGTGTTTTATTGTGAGTATAAACCTGTTTTATTCCTTCTTTTCCAAAAGTAATGTTTTGTTCCATTCCAAATGTATCTACTAACAAACACTGGGATGAAGTCTTTGTTAATAGATACATTTATCAAATCATACCTTGTGTATATCTTTTAAGCATTTAAATATCAATTTCCTTAAAGTGTACACTAGAAAAAAATTAAAGGCAGCTAAATGCCTCTGCAATTTTTCTTGCAAACTCTGTACTGCAAAGCCAAAGTTTTAAGCGAAATCATCTAGCTACAGAATGATTATAATTATATTTAACATAGGCCGGGCCTGAACAGAGCATTTTATCAAAGTTAATAACAAAAGACAGAACATAAAAATCTGTTACACAATGCACAAAATTTTATCATCACAATTAAATAGTGTAATTACAGCTGAGTTAAAGGAGGGAGTAGTTGCTTCATATGAATGTGTCATCAAATAATCGCATATTCATTCTGTAAAAGACAGAGCTTTATGTCATAATACTTCCTTGCAGTTTATGAATTTCACAACTATACAGCCTCCTCTAAAGGCAAAGATATCAACATTTCCTATTGTAGTTTAAAATGACAAAGGTTATTTATACACAGAAAATTCAGAATAAATCTAAGTGGCAACTTTTTAAAGTCAAGATTTGCACACACGCGTGCACACACACACACACACACACAAGCTTAGGTATAAATGACACATAAAACACAGTGTCATGTACAAGAAATAAAAGCTCTTCCACCAAGATTTTAGAAAAAAATGCAGTTTCTTTAGCAATCTGCATACTTCCTTGTTCTAATATACTAGCAATATTCAACATTAAACCCCAAATACATCTCTTCAGATATCTATGGCACAGATCAACAGATGTAAAAGTTTCAGACACTATAAAGTATTTTAATAAAAATATTCCTTAAACCTTCAATGCAATTTCCTTATCTATATATTAAATTCTTTCCATTTCCAAAATCAAGCATTCAACTATATCTCACAATAAGATTCTAGAAAAGTATTGATCTTCAAAGAGCAAAAAAGAAAACAGCTGCTTCAACAAGAGTATATAATTAGTTCAGTGATGTATGGTCTTCTCAGTAACAGAAAGGGGCTTCCACGTATCTCCTCTCCCTCATCTTCACAAGCCCATTTTTCTGAATATCTCATTATTATTATTAAAAGGGAATAGAAAGAAATAACATGCCCTACTTCTCAGGAATGTTAAAGTACTGACATCCGCCATTTTCTCAGCAAAGGAGGAAGACATGTTGGAACAAAAACACAAAAGAGAGCAGCCATTTCTATTGGTACATCCCAGGAGTTGCCAGCTACCCCCCCTGTATTTCAGAAAATGATCAGAGAATTTAGTTGGGGAGGGGTGTTATGAAGGCTGCGGGGAGGGGAAGTATGAAGCAGCCAAACGAAAAGCTCTCAATATCTTTTATACATGCAGTTTATCATAACACTAGGTAACATATAAACACTTCCTCTAATGCAGAACAAAGTAAACTGATCCTTTAAGAGAAAAGTAGTAAATATTCCACCTGCCTAAAGCTATAGTTCTTACCTTATATGAGGGATGCCAACTCCCCCTTGCAGAATCTTGTATAGTTTGCTTTCATATAACAGCTGGGGATGCCTGGCCTTCTGTGATTCTAACTTCACAGCTACTTCCTACAGTGGAAAAGGAGACATGGGGGTCAAAGTCCTACTAATCAGGAGGAATATATCTCACTGCTTCACAAAAACTGAGAATAGGTGAAATGATTTGTATCACCCCCAGGATTAGGAATCTCTGCAAATATATTCTATACAATACTTGTACAGAAAGCCATTCTCAAAAAGAATGATACTGGGCACCTAAAGTTATTCTGGAATATGTTAAAATCGTGTCCTATTTTGGGGGGGGGGGGCGGGGGACAAGATCAGGATGACATGAAAAAAACAAGCGCAAATCTTTCCACAAGAGTTTTTACTGGTTCACAGAAAATAACCAGAGCGCCTATGCGTTATATATTTACTTCATACATCAACTACCCTACCACAAAACGTGTGAAAAGGGGCACTTCCCAAGCCTTCGAATTAAAACACTGCAATCCCACAATATTTTGGGGTTGTTGTTTTTAAAAATCCTCTGCCCACATAATTTTAAATTCCTATTTGGCAGAAAAATATCCGGTATTTTGCTTTAAACGTTTACCAAAATGCCAAAAATTAAAGCAGGGGAATGAAAGCCCAAACGGCAGGTTCTCCAAAGCCGAATTACAGACAGAGGAAGACGGCCAGACTTCAAAAATAAAAGTGCAACCACGAAAGAAGCTTCTCACTTCAAGAGAAACAGCTTCCTCTCTTCCTAACCGCGCCGCCACTCTTCCCACACAACGGACACCCGGGGCCGGATCCGGAGCCCGGCACGTGAACCCCCCCCCGCTTGACTGGAAGGCGACCTCTACCCCCACTGGCGAAGCATAGGACATCCGAAGGAAAGAAGGCGAAAGGAAAGGCCCAGGCACCGCTCGGCCCTTACCTCCCCGTTGGTGATATTGATGGCCAAGTAAATGTCCCCGAAGGAGCCCGAGCCAATCTTCCGCACCAGCTTGTATTTGTTCCCGACAATGAACTCGGCCTTGGAGCCGCTGCTGCTCGCCATGGCGACGGAGGGGATGGGGGGGATAGGGGTTGTTTCCCACGCTTTCGAGAGCCCGCGGAAATTTCCACGGGGAGCTCCTGCTCGACCACGGCCAGGGATGGGGCAGGGGAGGACTGAAGGAGGAGAAGGGGCTTCGGTCTCGGCGGCTTGGACGGCGCTAGGCCTCTCTGGAGAGTAGACGCCCCACGCACTTTCCCGGCTGACAGCGCGGCTTTTCCCCTTCTGAGGAACAGAAGGGAGTCGCGGAGGGGGGGAAGGGGGGGGAAAGAGGGAAAAGAAAAGCCCAAACGAGTCCGTCCGTCCGCCGCCACTAACTGGCACTTCACTCGGCCGCCGCCATCTTGTCTGTCTGTCGCTCTCTCGCTCGCTCTTTTCCTCTCTCGCTGCCGATATCCAGGACACAAAATGCCTCCAGCCCGCGACCGCCGCTTCTTCACCGCGCTGAGTACTCTGGGAAACTGGAGAGCATACCAGCCTTGCGCATGCGTCTCCCAAAGGGAGGAAAAGAGGACAAGCAGGAAGTATCTGTGATCTTAACGCTTTGGCAGGGCGAGGCCGGTTCAAAACATGCGCATGCGCAAAAAAGGCGGCGGGCTTGTTCTTTGAAGCGTAGAAACCCCGCCCTCCTTTACGGGCGGGGGGGGGTGGAATTAGAATTACGCAGTTACCATCGTTCCACACATGCAAAAGAGGTTTGTTACTGTACCTTTCAAGTACAAAAAAAAAAGAAGAAGAAGGGCTGGTCATGCGCATGCGCTTTCTGAAGCAAAGGTGCTTTAGGAACATATCGTGAGAATCGTGTGACTAATATTCTGGTAAACTAGATTAAGCCCACTTGTACCTATTATTTCTATCAGTTATATTGTTTGTGTGTGTATATGTACGTCCATACACACACACACACATATACATACATATATATGTATATACATACACATATACATATATAGACATAGATACATACATATATACTGCCCTCATAAATTCATTAACACTTTTTCTCTGATAAGAGGCAAAACCAAACCTAGAAACTGGAGAACTCTGCTATTTCATACAGAAAGGAAAGGAAACTTAGTATTAATCTTG